GGGGATCCACCTGGCTGGAGAGCCACTCTGTGGAAAGGGACCTGCAGGTCCTGGTGGACAGCAAGCTCAGTGTGAGTGACCAGTGTGCTGCTGCTGCGGCAAAGCAAGCCAACAGGATGCTGGGTTGCATCAACAGGGGCATCACCAGCAGAGATAAAGACGTTGTTATGCTGCTCTGCTCAGCGCTTGTCAGGCCACACCTGGGATACTGTGTTCAGTTTTGGTCCCTGCTATGCAAAAAAGATGTGGGCAGGCTGGAGAGGGCCCAGAGAAGGGTGACAAAGATGATCAAAGGACTGGGAAGCCTGCCATGTGAGGAAAGGCTGAGAGAACTGAGCTTGTTCAGCCCTGAGAAAAGAAGGCTTAGGGGAGATCTTCTCACCATGTTCCGGTATTTAAAGGGTGGCTACAAAGAAGATGGAGACTCCCTTTTTACGAGGAGTCACATGGAAAAGATGAGGGCTAATGGGTACAAGTTACTTCTTGGGAGATTCTGACTGGACACAAGAGGAAAGTTTGCCACAGTGAGAACAATCAGCCACTTGAATAATCTCCCCAGGGAAGTGGTGGGTTCCCCAGCATTGGACAGTTTCAAGATTCAGCTGGACAGGGCGCTGGGCCATCTTGTCTAGACCGTGCTTTTGCCAAGAAAGGTTGGACCAGATGATCCTTCAGGTCCCTTCCAACCTGGTATTCTATGATTCCATGATTCTATGATACTTGGGGGCAGGGTGCAGGGGAGGAAATCTTCCAAGATTTCTTAGAGAGAAAATCTTGTATAGAAAATATTTAAAGACTTTTAATTTACAAACTGCAGCTTCAAAAGCAGCTACTGCAACTAGATGCAGTTTTGCGTATGTTATCAGTTTCAGTTATAGGAAGCTCATCTTCCTCTTTCTTTTTACACAAGTAATCAAACGGAGCTGTTGACATTCCAGATTCTTGATCTCTCTGACTCTAACTTCATCCTGATACAAACCACAATGCATCTTGTAAAATAGACTTGTTAAGATGTAGTTCAAACTTGCTGCTTGGACTCAATGCAAGTGAAGGCCTTCTGTAGACAAGTAAGTTTGGCCCAAGGCACTATGAACCTTCAACCAGGTCCTGATCTTCCAAAACCTCAACATTTCTGCAGCAGTTTCAAGAAAATCTGTAATTAGTATTTTTATTGATATAAACCATGGCAATAAATAGTGAAATTCATCAGTGTTTTTTTTTTTAAATAATGATTAAAAGACAGACTTGGTGTTGCTGTGCTTCCCAGTGTTTTTTTTTCTCAGTTTCAGGTGACCCATTTGCAATGGGCCATTGAATACTGTACTTCAGTGTATGTTGTTGACATATCTTTCACACAAAGTCTCCAGACACCTCAGAAACACTAATAAGTTAAGTAGCAAGAGCAATAATAATTTCAGCTTCACATTCACAGAACCTAAGTCTCAAAGTCTTCCTGAGTATCTGTGGAAGATCTAAAAATGAAATTCAACCTTCTGATCACTTTGAATTACTACATCGTGCAATCATACAATGTAATTCTGGTTGGAAGGGACCCCAGGAGACCACTTTGTCCATCTGCCTCCTCAAAGCAGGGCTAACTACTGCTCTACAGCACGTTGCTTATGGCTTCACCCAGCCAAGGCTTCAATACCCTCATGGTGGGAGGATGAACCACCACTCTTGAGTGTTTGATCACCTGCAAGGGGAAGAGTATTTTCCCTTGTCTACAGTCAGCTTTTCCCCTCATGCAACTTGTGTTCATTGCTGTTGCCCTGTTGCTGAGCTCCCCTGAGAAGAGCCTGGCTCTGCTGTCCATCCAGCTCCCCTCAGGCAGCAAAGCCTTCACTGAGGCCCCCTCAGCCTCCTCTTCTCCAGGATGAACAGATCCAGATCCTCAGCTTCTTCTCCTGTACCATGACCACCTTGGTGGCCCTTCTTGGGCTCCCTCCCATTGGTTAAGTCTCTCTCTTGTCCTGGGGTCCACAGCTGGTCACAGCCCTCCCAGGGAGACCCTCAAAAGCCAAGTGGAGGGGAGGGACCCCTTCCCTGGACCTGCTGGCTGCACCCGTGCCAGTACAGCCCTGGTGGTGGTCAGTCACCTTTGCTGCAAGGGTGCACCACTGACCTCGTTCAGTTTGTGCCTTTTTGGCAGAGCTGCCCTCAGGCAGTCACTCCCCAGTCCTGTACCAGTGCATGTGGTTATCCCAGCCCGGTGCTGGGAATACATTTTTTACTTTTGTTGGACTTCATTACCTTTCTGTCAGGTTGTTTCTCCAACTGAAGCCCCATCAGAAGAGCAGCTATGCCATCCAGCATATCAGCTGCACCCCAGTTTGGATTCACCGTGAACCTCCAGGCAGTCACTTCTCAGTCCTGTACCAGTGCATGTGGTTATCCCAGCCCGGTGCTGGGAATACATTTTTTACTTTTGTTGGACTTCATTACCTTTCTGTCAGGTTGTTTCTCCAACTGAAGCCACATCAGACCATCAGAAGAGCAGCTATGCCATCCAGCATATCAGCTGCACCCCAGTTTGGATTCACCGTGAACCTGGTAAGAGTTCACTCCATCCCATCAACCAGGTTGCTAATGGAGAAGTTAAACAGTATTGGCCAGAGCAGAGAGAAGTGCCAAATAGCACACAGCATAGACCACCCAATTCCTGCCACCTGCCCTGTAGTCTATCTATCTAGTCCACTTTTTCTCAGGCTGACGATCAGGATATTATGAGAGACCATGTCAAAAGCCTTGCTAAAGTCAAGGTAGACAACATCTATTCAGCTTTCATACTCAAAGACAGCAATTTATTTGGAGAAAGGGATCAGATTTGTCAGGCATGATTTGCTCTTCATCAGTCCATTCTGACTAGGTCCTTGTGCATTGTAGAATACCTTCCCTGAGAATCAGCACTTTCCTGGGCAATAGTGTGAGTTTGATGGGCCTATAGTTATTCACTCTTACCCTTTCTGCTGATGGCTGTGACACCTGCCTTTCTTCAGGCATCAGGAACCTCCCACTGCCACCGCGACCTTTCAGCGATAACAGACAGCAGCTTCAGGATGACACTAGCCAGCTGCCTCAGCAGCCTCAGCAGCCTCCAGCACGTCCTGTCTGGTCCCACAGACCAGCTTATTTAAATAGACCCTAACTCCATCGTCCCCTACTGTGGCTACCATTTCCCTCTCCTAAGTTTTGCTTCTAGGAGATGACCTCTGACAGTAAAGCCTAAGGCTTCACAGAGCAGTGGGCCCACATTTTCCCTGGTCTTCCTTCTTTTTGCTGCTGATGCACTCATAACAGCCATTCCTGTTGTCCTGCTCATCGCTCACCAGTTTTGATTCCAGCCAAGCTTTGACCTTCCTCATTTTGCCCCTACGTGCCTGGACAACACTTCTGTGTTGCCCCCCCACTTCTACCTCCTGTCTGCTTCCTTTTTGCATTTAAGCTCATTCACGGGCTCATCTGTCGACTCAAGTTCCTAACGCAGATTTTCCCCCTAATTTCTTTGAAATCTTATACCCAGTGGCATAACCACCCTTCACTTCAACAGAGCTAGAATTTTACCACCCTTTAGAAATTACTACTATCAACTTTGTCACCTTGATCATGAAATTTTGTTTTGCTGTCATCCTCTATTACAAATAGATGCTTCTGCTATGAATGATTTCTTTTATAGAATTAAGCTGCACCTAAAAATACTGCAGTTTAATACACAAGTGTGTCTTGTGTCATCTTACAGCAGCAGCCTTCCAAACATGACCTAAACAATGCTAATTCACTGTGACAGCAGATATAATCTTAGTCTTCCACACAGAATTTTAGCAACTGGAAAATGTTTTCCAACTGTCTTCAGCAGTACACATGAACATTCATCAATGCTATTTTCACTTTGTAGAACTAAATAGATATATGAAAACTCTCTAAACCTTTTTCTTTCCAACATACCTGTAGAGACCTTAACGTTAAAGAAGGCACTATTCAAGAGCGTCCTTTCGGAAAGCATTAACTCCCAAGAAACAGAAAAGAATAACATTTCATCCACATTTTTGAGATGACAAGAGAAAATTTTCAAGCCTTTTTTCATAACTTCCTGGACAACACATTCACACTCAAACCCTAAACACTGTTTGCTGTAGTTTGAAACACTGTAAAATGGTCAGGAAAACTGACATATATGAAAATGGTGTTATGGCAAACTTACGTTCTTGTTCAGAAATAGCTTTCACTAGGAAACATTTATACCAGTTTCTCATATACATTGTTTAAGAGGTGAAAAATTTTAAAATTGTTATTTTCATATATTTACAAAATGTGCTTGCAAACAAAACCAAATGCATGCTAGATCATTCTCTCTTCTTTCACAATTGAGTGTCAACAAAATCTTGGCACTGGTACTTAACACATCTACATCTCTTTCCCAGGCTGCTCCATTGCTGCTTTCTTGCAGCTTCTTCAATCTAAATCGCCCTCCAAACCCTGGTGCACTCAGGTTCTAACTTCTTCCTTCAGAAACATCCCTAACAGCACTTCTAAAAAGCTCGGTAAGTGAATTTCTAAACACCCCAAGGCTCGAACCCAAGCCCACGCTGTTTTACTCACAATCTGAAGATGCTTTCGTTTCAACAACAAAACCCCCACTGGGTGATTCTGAACTAACTCTTCCGTTCCTGCTTCTCTTCCCACAGTCCATTTCCTCCTTTATCCTAAGAAATATGCAGCAATAATAACAGTATCATCTCCCACTCTTCTGTGATGAGAACTAACACATCCAGCTCTGTATTCCTTCAAAACTCCCTCCCCACTTACTCACACGGGATCTCTTTCAGTTCTGGGTAAACAGATCTTCCCAACGCCTTCACAAAGCCTATCACTGTTACATTACTCTGTATATCTTAAGATTTATCTTTGTCTCTCTGGTTGTCACTTCCCTGAGGCAAAGGCAGTGTTTTTCCACGCGTTCTCTTTAGCACCAATGTGTCACACAGATGATTTTTAATTACCTTTCTGTTCAGAGCCACGCCATCTTCACAATCCAAGACTGCACAATCTACATTTAGTGACGGGATTTTTCGTATCTTCTTTTCATCATCCGCGGGTACATACAGCACAGCTCGCCTGGGAACGTACTTGTGAGATGATGCAAAGCGATAACTAAGCTTAGCAACACCAGCTGGCAGAGGAGAATCCACCCTGTAAAGGATATTGTTGAAATCAGACTCTTGGCTACAATGCTCTAAAGAAGACTTGGCTATATTTTAAAGGGGAAACATTCCTACCTAGATAGTGGCTGGTTTTGGGTTATTCATCTGTTTTGTTTTTTTTTTTTCCTCAGGAAGAGCCAAGGTAGGGAGATACCGGTATTACAGGTAATTACAGTATAAAACTCCAAAACCACCACCTTCAACAGAAGTTGCAAACTTAAACACTCGGAACCGAAGAACTGTCGGGGCTGAGGTTATCCGGCGCAGCCTTAATTACGCTGCCCGTTCTGCGCGCTATGGCAAGTATTGAATACAGAAGGGTGGTGGCTGGTTTTTCCCTGTGGTAGGATTCCTCCGTAGGGTGGAGGCTACGCTGGGAACGGATCGGGACTGCTTTAGGGAGGGGGCTGCTGTCTGCCGCGCTCGCTGCAGGAGCTGGACGGCATGCTGTGAATGACGCAGGGGTGTCGGTTAAAACAAACATGGGTTTGCAAAGTTGATTTTGCAACCTTAGCGTTATATCAACAAACGTATTTGCATGTAAATTTTAAATAAGCAAAATGGATGGAAGGGGAAACAAGGAAAACAGGAACGAAAACCCCGCATAATGTGGAACCTCACTAATCCCAACACGTCCTCTCAGAAGCCTTCAGACCGCCAGATCCACAGCACAAACCTCCATCGACAGAGCTCATAAACCCACCAGCATCGTCAGCAGGTGGCTGGCTGCGGTGGCTTTTGCAGGTCATAAACGCTTTGTGCACCACATGTCAGCGCAGGTGTGAGCCCGTGGTGCCACACGGCTTGAGCGGGTGGCACCCGTACGACCCGCAGGCGTCAGGTTCGTGGTGGTCTCCACCCCGTGCCGGTATTCCCGGTGAGGGACCAGCTAACCCACCCTTGGCACGAGCTGGGCTGGTGCACTTGGAGGCAGCGGGGGCTGCCCTTGAGTGCCGTAGGGAGCTTGCTTTGCTCCATAATTACAAGCACAGAGGAATAAATTGCAGAGGGTGCCATGTGTTTTGTGGCCCTCCAAAAAAACAAAACCCTTGCCTGCTCCTGTTCCTCCCCATTTCATGCTGTAACCCCCAGGCCTATTCTGCTACATCAAAAATGAGGACAAAATGATACAATTTGCCTTCATACTCAGAGCACCAGTCACTTAGGCCACAAAATAATCCCACCACATAACACCACTATGCATTATCATGTATATTATTCAGCACTTTGAATAATGCAAAGCTTTTCTAGCACCACGCTGAACATGTCATTATCGCATCATGTCAGGGACCCATGCGTTTTCCTGTGCCCCTCTTAATAATGCTTCCCAAGTTGCTCCACTTGGATGACACGTGGCTACACGCACACACGGGTTCTCTTCAAAGTGAACATGACTAACCCCCTCAAATGCTTGGAAATGAGTTCAGTCAATCTAAATCAGAGCCAACGTGATGTGTCGCTGACAGACCACGATGATACTTGCCCTTCTACTCTAAGCCTGTCGAAGAACCCTCTCTTCCCTAGAGTTAGCACCCTAAAAGCTGAATATAGGTCTCAGGTTAAAAATATGAAGACAGCTTTTATTACGTTTTATCTCAGGAAACCAAGTGGAAAAGGACAACTATTCCACCATTTCCCCTGCCAGGCCCCTGCATGTCCTGGGTGGACCCACCTTACGAGCCCACAAATACCTGCTGCCAGCCTCTTCTTTGTAATATGCCTGCTAATGCTTCACTCAGCCTAAGCAACAGGGAAGCCTTGCTGTTAAACAGAAATGATGCATTATTTTATTCTGAGTGCCAGTGCCACCCTCGTTAATAAATCTTCTTCACCTCTAACTGCAACAGCTTCAAGACTTAGGTGGTGGAGGTCCTGACAGCACCTGTAGACAGGCAACTAAGATCCACTGAGTCTCCTAAGCACCCTCTTTGCCCCTCTGGCACAGACCACTTCATGTCCCCTGTCTCATGTTGAAGTGGGGATGGTAACACAACTTGTGGCGACTCAAGTGGCTGCCAGTTAAATCCACTTAATCCCATTTTCTTGCAGTAGTACACTTTGGGAGAGCAAGGAGGAGGTGGAAGAGTGGTTTATCTCAAATGGAAAGAGGAGGGTCTTTTTTCAGTGTGACACAGAGGTCAGTAAAGAAGTCTGCAGTCCTTCACTAAACATATATGAGGGGACAAAAGTGATTAGTTTCTATTCTCTTTCTCTGATGGCTTCAACCCGCTAGTTCCCAAAGACACAAAGGAGTCAAAGAGCTCAGCCCATTAATAGTTAACTCCAGCCTAGCGCCAAGCAGCCTCTGAAGCACCCTTAATGACTGCCTCTCCACCAACCCTCCAACCCGCCAGGAACCCAACAGCCATGGCTAACACCATAATCTCAGAGCACGCTGAGATGAGACGTATCTCCTGTCACACATTTCCCAGGATTTCTTCTGGGCTGTCATTGAACCACGGGCTGTTCGACCAGCCGTCTTCCCTCCCACGGCTGCAAGCCCCAGGAAGGCAGCTCTGCTCTACATACCGCGCACGACAGCGTGTAGTATTGTGTAGGTAAAACCGTTGTCACCCGCAGACCAGATTTAGTCAGGTGTCACCACTGAGGTCTATGAACTTTAGTTTAGGTGGGGGAGCAACATGGCTTCCCCAGCAGACTGCCTGACTCTGAAGAAGTAGTAGATTAAATTCATTAAAATACCATCGCCTAATTAGCCTTGATGCTTGAAATACTATCGCCTGGTGACTATTGGTATCTCCTCTTCAGCTAACCAACTTTGTAGCCTCGTGGGCCCAAAACACAGATTTTTCAGGACACGGGCTATTATAAAAATGTACTGTAAATTTGTCAAATTATTAGTCTTATGGAACATTTTAGCAGGTTAAAGTAATAATTTTTTCAAGAAAAAAAAAATGTAGAGGAGGAACAGGTGTCAGCAGACCAACACAGCAACCTTCGCCTTTCAAAACAAAGAGCTTTAGAAATGTACATATAAAATAAGAGTTTTCAGCAAGTATGCTTAGGTGTGACCGCAATAAATGTTTTCATATGCTATTATTTTGAGCTATATTCTTAAACAATCATCTTCTGTTCTCACTGTGCATTTTCCTTGCAAAGTCATATTTTATGTTCTACAATAAAATGAAATGTAGAGGAAGAAGCTGATTTATTATGAAATCCATTTGCCTATAGACCTTTTTAAAACAGTGGCAAGGCCCAGGGTGCTATGCATATGAGCAGTTAGCTACTCTGGTAGGAAACACTACCCTGATTATCTCAACTTCTGTTATTTTGATAGAATAAAAACATCCCCGGCAGTTACTTTTTTAGGACAAAAAAACCCACACAGCAACTGCACTCTCAATTATATTGTTAACCCCATGCCATAAAGAGGAAGAAAATCTTACATATGTTTCCTGACTGCAAGTATTTTAATGACTCAAACTAAGCTCGACTATGTTTTAAACTAAACACATGGACATAAGCCAAGCTAATTTGCTAAGACAATGTTTCTTCCTTTAAGCACTGTAAGTTAAAACAGGGACTAAGCTATTGGGTAATGCTCATTAAATGGTTTTACAGCAGCCTATTTTCATTCATAGCATCTAGCAGCATGCTGAATGCTCCTGGGTCTTGGAAATGAGACTAAATTTCTTCAGCAAACATAACACTTTACTACAGCCTTCATCAAATATGTAAAAGTAGCTGGCAAGTTAGTTATTCGTGATCCTCTGAGAACTGTTTCACCCAAGAGCAGATAGTTCAGCCTCACGAAGGAGAAAACAAAACGGTTACGAAGAGACATCGCACTTTGCAATGGCAGCCATACGGCGTGCCTGCAAACCGCTGGAATTACCCCAAATGACACAGGCTTCCCTGCTGTAAGCTGGATTTTCACACGCCAGCATTGCTGATACTCGCACATATACTTAACTGCACACACCTGTGCGGTCTCATCGGCGCCGGTAAGGTGTAGCGCAGGAAGTGAAGTACTCCCACGAGTGATGTGCGGGATCAGCACTTTAACCTGTGCCTCTGTTCCCCGTTTATTTGGTAGATCAAATCGCCCCTGGAAGAGATGCTGCCCCGTGATCTGCCTAACGCATGGAAAAATATCCACGGCTCGACGGGCCAATCCTCTCCTTCTACAGTCTTTGGCGCAGGGCTGGCAAGCGTTTCCAAAGGACGTTTGAATAAAACCGTTAAAAAAGCTGGATAATTTCCACAGCGTGTATTTCTGAGCTGCATGCACGTGCGAGCATACTAACCACAATCCTGGGTATCTGCGGTGCTGTGGCAGAAAGACAGGCACGACCCGGGACCTAAGACTCCACTGAACAGAACCCAGCTCACGTAGCAAAAATTCCTACAAATTATTTCTCCGGTGTGTGCAAAAAAAAAAAACCCCTCCAAGGGTAAATATAATGGTTTTCCTCCGTCGAATTTACTAGGGAGTAGCTCACAGCCACACGCAAATAATCTGCCAAAGACAACGGAAACTTCTACCAAATTGCAAAGCCCCGCAATTTGCATAGTAATTCTTTCTAATTAAGAAAAGAAGATATAAGTTGTTTGTTATAAACATCAGCGGGCCCTGTGCAAATACCGAGGGCTCACAGCCGAGCCGAGTATTTGTCGAATCAAAGCGACTCGCCGGAGAGTTTTATTGGTACAGCTGCGGCGCATGCATTTTATCACACATGCTAATAATCCTGGTTATGGCACTAACATTTTAATCATTTGTTCTGTGGGCTTGTTTCTCAAACAATTAGCACTAATGAATGGCCAAAATACCTCGGATCATATATGTCTAATTGCAGTCAAGAGCGG